AAAAAAAAATAATGTGACCAGTAAAAATAATGTGATCTCCCTTAGAGACAAGTGAGGAAGGTTGGAAAAATCAGGATCATGTCAATGGCCAGAAAGGATCCAGGATGGCTCATTTCAAATCCCAGCTCAATGCTGAAGACTCCATCACCAACACTCCTGCCTGAGGTCAAGCCAGCAGATCAAAGTCCTTTGACAAGCTTGCTCATACCCATTTGAAACAGACACCCTAGGAAGTGCCTCAGCCACCAGCATGGAAAGGTATCACACCAGTTCCGCTCCTGTCCATGGTGATTGCTGAAATCTGCCACAAAGCTCAATTCTGAGATATCTCTATGACTTACAAAACACCTCCTCCAGCAGATGGGACTTCATACACACCCAGCTGAGGGTGAAAGGCTCTGTTGCAGGCAACTGCTGTTAGGGATAGCTTCCCCACTTACCCTATGCTCCTTCCACTCACCACCACGTGGGAGATAGCAGCACACACTCTCTCCTGGTCCTAACATCCCTTTTAGCACAAAACCCCTCAGGAGGTCTAGGAATACCACAGTTTCAAAGGAAACTGGTGAAGGGAAGGACTTTGTTTACAACTGGAAGCAATTTCTGGATGACAGACTCCTTCAACAGAGGAGAAAAAGGCATGAAGCATTAACACAGGATAAATCTTAACTCACAGCATTAGCCACACCCCAGTGAAGCCCCAGTAATTCACTGGCTTTTAGTAGTGGTGGTCCAACAGACCACACAGGCTGAAGATGGAGCTGGGTGTATAAAAGTGGACCAACATCTGGCAGCTCACAGTGCTAGGCAATGACTAGCCCTGCCCAGGGCTGGGAAGATCAAGGAACATTTCTAATGGCCTTGGAAATCGTAAAGCTTTCATTGCCCACTCCTCACTCAGTGTGTGTCCATCTGCTCAAGGAGCTCCAACCCTTGGCACCCGCAGTGTCTCCACTTCTCCAGGGCAAAGACTTTCCCCATCCACCTGAAACCTTGACCCACCTCCTCATGGAAGAGGAGAACAGAGCCCAGCACTGCCATGCCTGCTA